GGGGGGGGGCGCAGGTACCTCCCACAGCTGGAGGGAGGTCCACCAGCTTAGCTAAGGGGTTTTGCAGTCCCCAGGTTCTTGCTGGGAAGGGATGGCCCCATGGGGCCCATGGTGACCAGGACCTGGGAACTCAGCACTGACCCGACCTCTCAGCTCAGAGCTGCCCACCCCCCTCCTGCATGGTTTTGGGCGGCTGCTGCCCACACACCCCAATCCCTCTGTCCACAGGCTGCCCAACGCACCCAGCCAGGGCTGCGCTTCCCTCTGCCCCACCCCCCGGCCCCGTCCCCACAAACCAGGAGCCCTCCGTGGGGGGAGCAGAGGGGTCTCGTTGCCCCCTAAAAGCAAAGCAGCCTGCAGACCAGTGAGCGGCCTGGATGCAAGGACTAGACAAACGACGGTTCACTGTCCTTTATTATTGTTCCTGCAGACTGGCCCCTTGCTGGGGGGGGACACAGTCCCAAGGGGGCCCAAGAAGCAGAGGGCCACAGCTCCCAGCTCCGTTTGGGGAGAACAAGCTGCACTGGCAGGAGACCCCGGGTGGTGGTGGTGTTTTGGCTGATCAGCTGCTAGGGGCCTTGAGGGGTGACCACCGTCCACACGGAGAGGGACCCTGAGGACACACTGCAGCCCACTCTGCCCAGGGTGCTAGGGGTTGGCACAGACAGTGCCTGGGACACCGCATGGTCCTGGAAGACGGCAGAGGCCTCTGGGTGCCGAGAAGTTTTTGGCAAATTGTTAAAGCCACTGGGGATTGGCTGGAGTGGGNCTCACCCTGGCACCCGTCTGGTACCTGCCTCATTTGTTCACTGGCCTAGCAGCTGTGGGGGGACAGCTACTTTTCACAGCATCATAAACGCTATGGCCCCTCCTAAGAAAAAAGTGCATGTGCACACACTGGCCCTTGATAGAAGCTGCTGGAAGACGGTGCTGAGGGCCTCGGGCAGCTGCTCCATGAAAGAAACCTTGGGGCCAGAGGAGCAGGGACCCCCAAAAACCTGGGCAGCCTGTCCCTCCCATCTCCAGTGTTAACTGTCTACTGGGGGAGGAGAGGAATCCCAGGGCCCGAATGCCGCCCCTCCTGGTGAGTGGTCCTAGTGAGTGTGCAGGGCAAGGAGTGGGGGGCAGGAAGGGTGGAGGTGACACCGTCACTGGAAGGAGCTCTGGCTGGCGGGCCAGGGAGCACACATGGTGGCCTGGGGTCAGGGAGGAAGGGAGGCCGGGGCTCTGCGGGCAGGTGCTGGGCTCAGGGCAGCGCTGGGCCCGCGTGGACTCTGGGAGAACCTGGCGCTGGGGCCGGGCATGGCCCAGCTGCTCCCTGGTCCCCATCAGGAAGGCACTTTGATGCCGAAGTATTTTCGAAGCTGTTCCAGGAACACGAACGTGAGCACCGTGTGTGGCATGAGGCGGATGCCGGCAGGCACGAGGCCCTGGTGGGGAAAGGAGGCAAGGAAGGAAGAGCTGGGGGGGCCCCGGCCCCTCACCTTGCCACACCTGTCCCACCCTGCCACCCCCACGCCCCACGGTGCAACCCCACCCCACCACC